GATGGTAGTGATGGTGCTGATGATGGTGATGGTAGTGATGATGATGGTAGTGATTATGGTGATAATGGTAATGATGGTGATGGTCGTGATCGTAGTGATGGTGATGGTAGTGATTATGGTAATGATGATGGTGATGATGATGGTGATGATGATGGTGATGATGGTGATGATGGTGATGGTCGTGATCGTTGTGATGGTGATGATGGTGATGAGAGTGATGGTAGTGATGATGCTGATGATGATGGTAGTGATGATGGTGATGATGGTGATGATGGTGATGAGACTGATGGTAGTGATGATGGTGATGATGGCAATGGTAGTAATGATGGTGATTGTCGTGTGTGTGGGTGTGTGTAGGTGTGTGTGTGGGTGTGTGTGTGGGTGTGTGTGTAGGTGTGTGTGTGGGTGTGTGTGTGGGTGTGTGTGTAGGTGTGTGTGTGGGTGTGTGTGTAGGTGTGTGTGTGTAGGTGTGTGTGGGTGTGTCTGTGTGGGTGTGTCTGTGTGTGGGTGTGTGTGTGGGTGTATGTGGGTGTGTGTGGGTGTTTGTGTGTGTGAGTGTGCGTGGGTTAGTGTGTGTGGCTTTGTGTGTGTGTGTGGGTGAGTGTGTGTGTGGGTGTGTGTGTGTCAGTGTGTGTGTGTGTGTGGTCCGTGGTGCTGGACGGGCAACTCTATCGTGGACAGTGCCGTGGGGGGGGCAATTCCGAGTGGCCTTTCCCCCCATGGAGTTTGTGACTACCACAGGGGATAAAAGGGGCTCTGGACAGGTGCGAGGGGCTGGTAACCCCTTCACCTTCAATTAATTACCGCTAAACCACGACAGAATAGTTTAATGAATAAGCTTGTGCCGGAGGCCCCGGGGGGACAGGCGTCTATGACGTCTCCTGGCCAAATCCCATTTGGCGGAACCAGGAGACTGAATATCCACCCTCGGGGCTCCTCCAGAAACAGCAAAAAACCACTACGTGTGGCCACGTGGAATGTTCAAACGCTCACTGCGGAGGAGAGGCTGCCACTCCTCTGTCGGGAGCTGGACCAGTACCGCCTGGATCTCTGTGGCATTCAGGAGGTCCGGTGGACCGGCTCTGGCTCCTGCCACCATGAGGGGTGGACAGTCCTCTACTCGGGGCAGGAGACTGCCAAACAACAGGGTGTGGCTCTTCTTCTGAACAAAAGAATGAATGGGGCGTGGGAGCGTGGCGGTGAGGTGTGGGAAGCTGTAAGCCCCAGGCTACTTTGGGATTGCCTTCCCATCAACCAGAGATGAGGAGTGGTGGTCGTGGTTATTTATGCCACCACTGAAGACGAACATCAGTGGAGGGATGCAGGCAAGGCCGATGAGTCAGATGCCTTCGATGTCCTCCTGTCACAGGTGCTAGCTAAAGTGGCCCCTCGGGATAGAGTCATCTGGTTGGGTGACTTCAATGCCCAAGTTGGTCATGATGCTGGCACCTGGTCTGGAGTGATTGGAAGGCATGGGCCGGATCAGCTCAATAGCAACGGCAGGAGGCTGCTAGATTTTTGTGCAGCCCATGGGCTTGTAATTACCAACACGCTGTTCCGGCATCGGCACATCCACACAAGATCATGGATGCATGCCGGGTCCAAGCAAGAACATCTGCTGGACTACATAGTGACGGAACAGCGGATGCGAGCCCATGTCCTTGATACCAGAACCTACCGTGGAGCTGATCTGCCCTCTGACCATCGACTAGTCATCTGTAAGATGCGCCTGCCATTCTTCCACTCCGGTGGTGGGTGTACACCCAGGACCCCATTCAAACCCTTGGTGGCCTGGTCTCAGCTAGCTGATGAAAGTTGCAAGCGAGAATTTCATCATCGATTGCGACTGGGGTTGGCATCGTCCCCCACTCCTCCTGATGTCGATGGTAAATGGGCGAGGTTTAGGACTGTGACTCATGCAGCTGCAATGGCTGCTTTGGGTACGCGGTCCAGACCTCCCCAGAGACCCTGGCTGACAGAGGAGGTGTTCAGGCTGGCTGAGAAAAAGCGACAGGCCCACTCTCATCATCTACAACATCCCACGTCGTAGAATGAGGAGGCTTACCGCAGCCTTCGCTCGGAGGTTCGGAGAGCCGTGAGGCGCTGCAAGGATGGGTGGTGGTCGCGGGTTGCTGAGGAGGTGGAGTCTGCCTCAGTGGCCCGCGATCACAAATCGCTTTTTAATTCCATCAAAAAGTAACCTGCAGCGCCACACCTATTACCATCATTAGGGGAAAGAACGGTGATCCAATGTCCGACCCCCAGGAACAGGTTTGCAGATTTGCTGAGCATTTCTGTGAGGTCCTGGGGAATGGCGGTGGTGCTGTTGCGTTTTATGGTGGTGATGGCCGTGGTGGTGGTGGTGGTAGTGGCAGTGTTGATGATTGTTGTGGTGGCAGTGTTTATGCTGATGGTGGTGGCAGTGTTGATGACGGTGGCGGTGGCAGTGTTGATGACGGTGGTGGTGGCAGTAATGATGGTGGTGATGGTGGTGGTGGTGTTGATAGTGGTAACGGTGGCGGTGATGGCGGTGCAGGCTGCCTCTAGCGCTTGTAGAGGCGGCAGCAGCAAGGGTTGGTGGATCACACACGGATGGGCGTGTGGAACTCCCTTCCTACCCGTAGCCCTGGGGCTCTGCCAGGTAGGAGGCGGTACAGAAGAGTCTGTGGACTCATCTCCCTTCTGCCCGTGGTTTGGCGCGTAAGTCCTTACACGGATAAGCACGTGTGTAAGTGTGCACGCGTGCACACGAGCAAGCGAGTAAACGAGTGAATTACACGAGTGGGTGAATGAGTGAGTGAATGAATACGTGACTGAGTGAGTGAGTGACTGAGTGAGTGACCGAGTGAGTGAGTGACCGAGTGAATGACACGAGTGGGTGAATGAGTGAGTGAATGAATACGTGACTGAGTGAGTGAGTGACTGAGTGAGTGACCGAGTGAGTGAGTGACCGAGTGAATGACACGAGTGGGTGAATGAGTGAGTGAGTGAATACGTGACTGAGTGAGTGAGTGACTGAGTGAGCGAGCAAGTGAGTGAGTGACCGAGTGAATGACCAAGTGAGCGAGTGAGTGAGTGAGCGAGCAAGCGAGTGAGTGAGTGAGTGAATGACTGAGTGAGTGAGTGACCGAGCGAGTGAGTGAGTGACCGAGTGAATGACTGAGTGAGTGAGTGAGCGAGCGAGCGAGTGAATGACCGAGTGAGCGAGCGAGTGAGTGAATGAGTGGGCGAGCGAGCAAGGGGACGAGTGAGCGAGCGAGTGAATGACCAAGTGAGTGAGCGAGAGATCGAGCGACTGGTTGACCGAGCGACCGAGTGAACGAGCGGGCGAGCGAACAAGCGAGTGAGCGCGAGCGTGACTGTGTGGATAAGGAATATATTCGCAAACGAAACTCAACCGGCGTAGGGGGTTCAACCCAGCGCGCGTAAACCGTAACACGCCCGAATGCCGTGCCTAGCGGTGAACGGAGTTATAAGCGGAATGCAATATTCCAAAACAAGGATTCCACGTTCACACGCCGTGTTAAACGCTTTTTTTTAAAACGTCGTGGGGTGCTAGCCGTGCCGGCGGTGCCGGCGGTGCCGGCGGTGCCGGCGGCGGTGCCGGCGGTGGTGGAGAGACAACCCAACAATTGCGCCAAAGCAACGTTGTATTGTTCCGCTTCCCCTCGCTCCCGTGACTTCTCTCTGCCTCCCTCCCTCTCTCTCTCTCTCTCCGGCCGCTCATGAGAGGAGAGAGCGGAGGATGCGAGTGCGTGACCTCGCCTCATCGCCGCGTAACCCCTACCGGACGTCGCACGCACACACGTGGTGGTGGTGGTGGTGCGAGCGGATAACATGAGTGTGTGCGCGCGGGCGGGTGAGATCACACGGGATTGGCCGATAGTGTCACGTGCCCCCCCTCGCCTGGCCCTGCTGGGCCCCGAGCGAGTTTCCAATAACCTAGCATGGCCAGCAGCAAGGAGTGCATCAACGGCTTTGGTACCCGCTCAGCTACAGTGAGAAAAACAACCCGGTACCGTGCTGGCCCCTCTCCAAATCAGATGTACCAGTGGAAAAAACAACCCGGTACCGTGCTGGCCCCGCTCCAGCTGAGCTCGGATGTGCCAGTGGGAAAACAACCCGGTACCGTGCTGGCCCCTCTACAAATCAGATGTACCAGTGGAAAAAACAACCCGGTACCGTGCTGGCCCCGCTCCAAATCAGATGTACCAGTGGATAAAACAACCCGGTACCGTGCTGGCCCCACTCCAAATCAGATGTACCAGTGGAAAAACAACCCGGTACCGTGCTGGCCCCGCTCCAAATCAGATGTACCAGTGGGAAAACAACCCGGTACCGTGCCGGCCCCGCTCCAAATCAGATGTACCAGTGGGAAAACAACCAGGTACCATGCTGGCCCCGCTCCAGCTCAGCTCGGATGTGCCAGTGGGAAAAGCAACCCTGTACCGTGCCGGCCCCGCTCCGGTTCGGCACGCACGCAACGCGCCCGGCGTGGTGGAAGCGTTCCAGTCGGGGGGGGGGGGAGGCGGGGGGGCGGGGGGGCGGGGGGGGGCGGGGGGGGGAAAAAAAAAAAAGAGAATTCCCCCTTCCACCGGACGACCGACGCCGGGCCCACGAACGCTCTCCCGTCCGCTCAGTTCCGCCTCAAACGAAAAAAAGAACGACCCCAAAAACGATAAAGAACCTAGGGGGTGGTGGGGGGGGGTGGGGTAGGGGGGCGCTTGCGCGGCAAGCGAAGTCGCCTCTCCGCCTCTTACAAATCCTCGTCCTCAGCGTGCTCCTACTCATCGTGTTCCTCCTCCTCATCCTCATCATCCTCATCATCCTCATCACCATCGTCGTCGTCGTCGTCGTAGTAGTCCTCCCGTCGCCGTGGTTACCGCGACAAAACGGAGGAGGAGGAGGTGGAGGTGGCTGGGCTGGGCTGGGCTGGGCGGCGGGTTAGAGAGCGACGAGAATAGCAAAGTGCGGTATGGAGGGCGTGCTCGGCCGGCACGTCACCAGATCACGCTCGACATGCTGGTCTCGCGCGGGATCAGGGGCAGCAGGACGCTGCTGCCGCCCCCCGCAGCGTGGCCCAGCGTCGAGGCCGCCCCTCCACCTCCGCCGTCATCGTCCCCCAGGCCGAGGCCCCCGCCGAGGCCTCCGAGGCCCCCGCCGAGGCCCGCCGCCGCCGCGGCCGCCGCCGCCGCCGGCCGGCCGTCGCGGCGCAAGCTGCCGCCGCCGCCGCCGCCGCCGCCGCCGGCCCCCTTGCCGCGGTGGCCGTTGGCGAGCGACACCGGCACGTTGCAGTACGTGTGGTGGCCGCCAAACGCCGTCAGTTCGGCGGCAGCCGCGGCGGCCGCGGCGGCGGCGGCCGGCGGCTCGTCCTCCGCACCGCCGCCGCCGCCGCCGCCGCCGTCGAACGGCCGGTACGGCCGGCCCACGAACTCGCAGCTCCCGCCGCTGACGACGCCGCCGCCGACGCCGCTGCCGCTGCCGCCGTGCCTGCGGTAGCACGGGTTGTAAATGCTCCCGCCGCCGCCCAGGGCGCCGACGCCGCCGGCACCGCCCAGGGCACCGCCGCGGTGATCGTGGACGTTGGCGGGCAGCGTGGCCGATGGGTACGCAGCTACCGGGTACTGCTGGTTGTGCTGCTGCTGCTGCTGCTGCTGGTTGTGCTGCTGCTGCTGCTGCTGTTGTTGTTGTTGATGATGGCGCTGCTGCTGCTGCTGCTGCTGCTGCTGGCGGTGACGGTGGTGGTGGTGATGGTGGTGGAGGTGGTGTTGCGAGAGCGGCCCCGGCGCGCCGGTGCCCGTGGCCGCCGCCGCCGCCGCCGCCGCCAGCATCACCGCCGCCTGGAACCCTCGGAGCGGCGACCCTCCGCCCGCGGGCCCCCCCGCCGGCCCCGCCGCGAGCCCCGTCCCCGGCCCGCCGCCGCCGCCGCCGCCGCCGCCGCCGCCCTCCCCCTCGTCCAGCGCCGGGTCGACGCCGGCGAACTCCCGCTTCCTGGCGGGCATCTCGTAGCGCAGACGCTTCCAGAAGCCGGCGTCCTCTCGGGACGGTTCCCCGGCACCGCCGCCGGCGCCGCCGCCGGCGGCCCGCGGCGGCCGCTTCCAGCGGACGACGGAGAGGTGGCGGGCGGCGGCGCGCAGCGACTGCAGCTCGTGGTAGTTGACGAGCGAGCGGAGGTCGCCGCACTCGACGAGGACGACCCGCGTCGAGCCGTCCTCCAGGGCGACGCGCAGCGCCGGCTCCAGCGTGAAGAGGGACCAGCTGCGGCGGACCACGAACGCCGGCGTGAGCACCAGCAGCAGGCGGCGGCTCAGCTCGAGGGCCCGGGAGATGTCCTCGATGTAGGCTTGGGGCGTGGGGAGCGGCGGGGCGAGGGAGCGGCGGGGCGGGAGCGGTTGGCGGAGGAGGATGCGGGAGAGAGGGAAATAAGAGGATTGAGATGGAGGTGAAGTTGAGATGGCCGCGGAGAGGCCTGGTGGACAGGCCTGTCCGCCAGGCCTGTCCACCAAGCCTGTCCACCAGGCCTCTACACCAAGCTTGTCCACCAGGCCTGTCCACCAGGCCTGTCCACCAAGCCTGTCCACTAGGCCTGTCCACCAAGCCTGTCCACCAAGCCTGTCCACCAGACCTCTCCACCAAGCCTGTCCACCAGGCCTGTCCATCAGACCTGTCCACCAAGCCTCTCCACCAGACCTGTCCACCAGGCCTGTCCACCAGGCCTCTACACCAGGCCTGTCCACGAAGCCTGTCCACCAGGCCTGTCCACCAGGCCTCTCCACCAGACCTGTCCACCAAGCCTCTCCACCAAGCCTCTCCACCAAGCCTGTCCACCAAGCCTGTCCACCAGGCCTGTCCACCAAGCTTGTCCACCAAGCCTGTCCACCAAGCCTGTCCACCAAGCCTGTCTACCAAGCCTGTCTACCAAGCCTCTCCACCAGACCTGTCCACCAAGCCTCTCCACCAGGCCTGTCCACCAGGCCTGTCCACCAGACCTGTCCACCTGACCTGTCCACCAGGACTGTCCACCAGGGTCGACCGCCAGTCTCTGGCCGCCAGCCTCTGGCCGTGTGTGTCTCTAGACACGTGTCTCTGTGTGTCTCTGTCTCTGTGTCTCTAGCTGTGTGTCTCTGTGTGTCTCTGTATCTGTGTATCTGTGTGTCTCTGTGTATCTCTGTCTCTGTGTGTCTCTAGCTGTGTGTCTCTGTGTGTCTCTGTGTATCTCTGTCTCTGTGTGTCTCTAGCTGTGTGTCTCTGTGTGTCTCTGTGTGTCTCTGTGTCTCTGTGTCTCTAGCTATGTGTCTCTGTGTGTCTCTGTATCTGTGTCTCTGTGTGTCTCTGTGTATCTCTGTCTCTGTGTGTCTCTAGCTGTGTGTCTGCATGTCTCTGTGTGTCTCTGTATCTGTGTCTCTGGCCACGTGTCTCTGTGTGTCTCTGTGTATCTCTGTCTCTGTGTGTCTCTGCATGTCTAGGTTTCTCTGCGTGTCTCTAGCTGTGTGTTTCTGTGTGTCTCTGTGTATCTCTGTGTCTCTGTGTGTCTCTAGCTGTGTGTCTCTGTGTGTCTCTGGCCACGTGTCTCTGTGTGTCTCGGTGTGTCTCTGCGTGTCTCTGCGTGTCTCTCGCTGTGTGTCTCTGTGTGTCTCTGTGAGTCTCTGTGTGTCTCTAGCTGTGTCTCTGTGTGTCTCTAGCTGTGTCTCTGTGTGTCTCTGTGAGTCTCTAGCTGTGTGTCTCTAGCTGTGTGTCTCTGTGTGTCTCTGTGAGTCTCTGTGTGTCTCTAGCTGTGTCTCTGTGTGTCTCTAGCTGTGTGTCTCTGTGTGTCTCTAGATGCGTGTCTCTGTATGTCTCTGGCCACGTGTCTCTGTGTGCCTCTGTGTATCTCTGTCTCTGTGTGTCTCTAGCTGTGTGTCTCTGTGTGTCTCTGTGTGTCTCTGTGTCTCTGTGTCTCTAGCTATGTGTCTCTGTGTGTCTCTGTATCTGTGTCTCTGTGTGTCTCTGTGTATCTCTGTCTCTGTGTGTCTCTAGCTGTGTGTCTCTGTGTGTCTCTGTGTATCTCTGTCTCTGTGTGTCTCTAGCTGTGTGTCTCTGTGTGTCTCTGTGTGTCTCTGTGTCTCTGTGTCTCTAGCTATGTGTCTCTGTGTGTCTCTGTATCTGTGTCTCTGTGTGTCTCTGTGTATCTCTGTCTCTGTGTGTCTCTAGCTGTGTGTCTGCATGTCTCTGTGTGTCTCTGTATCTGTGTCTCTGGCCACGTGTCTCTGTGTGTCTCTGTGTATCTCTGTCTCTGTGTGTCTCTGCATGTCTAGGTTTCTCTGCGTGTCTCTAGCTGTGTGTTTCTGTGTGTCTCTGTGTATCTCTGTGTCTCTGTGTGTCTCTAGCTGTGTGTCTCTGTGTGTCTCTAGACGCGTGTCTCTGTGTGTCTCTGGCCACGTGTCTCTGTGTGTCTCGGTGTGTCTCTGCGTGTCTCTGCGTGTCTCTCGCTGTGTGTCTCTGTGTGTCTCTGTGAGTCTCTGTGTGTCTCTAGCTGTGTCTCTGTGTGTCTCTAGCTGTGTCTCTGTGTGTCTCTGTGAGTCTCTAGCTGTGTGTCTCTAGCTGTGTGTCTCTGTGTGTCTCTGTGAGTCTCTGTGTGTCTCTAGCTGTGTCTCTGTGTGTCTCTAGCTGTGTGTCTCTGTGTGTCTCTAGATGTGTGTCTCTGTATGTCTCTGGCCACGTGTCTCTGTGTGCCTCTGTGTATCTCTGTCTCTGTGTGTCTCTAGCTGTGTGTCTCTGTGTGTCTCTGTGTGTCTCTGTGTCTCTGTGTTTCTAGCTATGTGTCTCTGTGTGTCTCTGTATCTGTGTCTCTGTGTGTCTCTGTGTATCTCTGTCTCTGTGTGTCTCTAGCTGTGTGTCTGCATGTCTCTGTGTGTCTCTGTATCTGTGTCTCTGGCCACGTGTCTCTGTGTGTCTCTGTGTATCTCTGTCTCTGTGTGTCTCTGCATGTCTAGGTTTCTCTGCGTGTCTCTAGCTGTGTGTTTCTGTGTGTCTCTGTGTATCTCTGTGTCTCTGTGTGTCTCTAGCTGTGTGTCTCTGTGTGTCTCTGTGAGTCTCTAGCTGTGTGTCTCTAGCTGTGTGTCTCTTTGTGTCTCTGTGAGTCTCTGTGTGTCTCTAGCTGTGTCTCTGTGTGTCTCTAGCTGTGTCTCTGTGTGTCTCTAGCTGTGTGTCTCTGTGTCTCTGTGTGTCTGTGTGTGTGTCTTTGGCTGTGTGTCTCTGCGTGTCTCTAGCTGTGTGTCTCTGCGTGTCTCTGTGAGTCTCTGTGTATCTATAGCTGTTTCTCTGTGTGTCTCTGTGTATCTCTGTGTCTCTGTGTGTCTCTGTGTGTCTCCGTGTGTCTCTAGCTGTGTGTCTCTGTGTATCTCTGTGTCTCTGTGTGTCTCTGCATGTCTATGTGTGTGTCTGTGTGTCTCTGTGTTTGTCTCTAGCTGTGTCCCTGTGTATCTCTGTGTGTCTGTGTGTGTCTCTGTGTGTCTGTGTGTCTCTATGTGTCTGTGTGTGTGTCTCTGTGTGTGTCTCTGTGTCTCTAGCTGTGTCTCTGTGTATCTCTGTGTGTCTGTGTGTGTCTCCGTGTGTCTCTGTGTATCTCTGTGTGTCTGTGTGTGTCTCTGTGTGTCTCTGTATATCTCTGTGTGTCTGTGTGTGTCTCTGTGTGTCCGTGTGTGTCCGTGTGTGTCTCTGTGTGTCTCTGTATATATCTGTGTCTCTGTGTGTGTCTCTGTGTGTCTCTGTGTATCTCTGTGTGTCTGTGTGTGTCTCTGTGTGCCTCTGTGTGTGTGTCTCTGTGTGTGTCTCTGTGTCTCTAGCTATGTCTGTGTATCTTTGTGTGTCTCTGTGTGGCTGTGTGTGTGTGTCTCTGTGTGTCTCTGTGTATATCTGTGTGTCTCTGTGTGTCTGTGTGTGTGTCTCTGTGTGTCTCTGTGTGTCTCTGTGTGTCTGTGTGTGTCTCTGTGTGTTTCTGTGTGTGTCTCTGTATGTGTCTCTGTGTGTCTGTGTGTGTCTGTGCGTGTCTCTGTGTATATCTGTGTGTCTGTGTGTGTCTCTGTGTATCTCTGTGTGTCTCTGTGTGTCTGTGTGTGTCTCTGTGTATCTCTGTGTGTCTGTGTGTGTCTCTGTGTGTCTCTGTGTGTGTCCCTGTGTCTCTAGCTGTGTCTCTGTGTATCTCTGTGTGTCTGTGTGTGTCTGTGCGTGTCTCTGTGTATATCTGTGTGTCTGTGTGTGTCTCTGTGTATATATGTGTGTCTCTGTGTGTCTGTGTGTGTGTGTGTGTCTCTGGCTGTGTGTCTCTGTGTGTCTCTGGCTGTGAGTCTCTATACGTTGGCACTGGATGTATGCAGGGACACGTGCCGAATGCTAATGGGGTGTCACCGACTCGAAACGCCTCTCACTCAAGCACACACACACACGCAAATATACACACACACGCACACACGCACACACACACGCACGCAAATATGCACGCACACGCACACACACACACACGCAAATATATGCACACGCACACACACGTACACACACACACACACGCACACATACACACACGCACAAACGCAAATATACACACACGCACACACGCAAATATACACACACGCAAATATACACACGCACACGCACACAAACACACACGCAAATATACAAACACGCACACACATGCACACACACACACACGCACACACGCAAATATACACAAACGCACACACACACGCATACACACGCAAATATACACACACACACGCACACGCACGCAAATACACACACGCACACACACACGCACGCAAATATGCACGCACGCACACACACACACGCACACACGCAAATATATACACACGCACACACACGTACACACACACACACGCACACATACACACAAACGCAAATATACACACACGCACACACACGCACACACACACACGCAAATATACACACACGCACACACACACGCACACACACACGCACACACGCAAATATACACACACGCACACACACACATGCACACACACGCACACACACACGCACACACACACACGCACACACGCAAATATATACACACGCACACACACGTACACACACACGCACACATACACACAAACGCAAATATACACAACCGCACACACACGCAAATATACACACACGCACACACGCAAAGACACACACGCACACACACGCACATATACACACACGCACACACACACAATTATACACACACACGCACACACACACACACACGCAAATATACACACACGCACACACACACACGCACACACACACACGCACACACACGCACACACACACACGCACACACACACACACGCACACACGCACACA